TTATTTTTTACCTTGTCTTTAGGAATATTATCTTGTAATTCCTTGGGGGAGTATATTCTTCCGCTTCTAGTCATGCCCCCAATGCCGGCTATGTTGGAGATATCTTGATTGACTGGTGACTCTTCTGCGTATCTCCAAGGTACAACTTTATTTGATGAATAAGGGAAAGGATGAGGCATGAATAAACGTAAAGGCGTTATTGCCGCTTCCCTTTTATCGATTAGAATGACCAACGGTGCTTGTTTGTTATCATCTTTGGGTCTATCGACCGTTGTAGAGATTTTGATAACGAAAGGCTTCTTTTCCATTTATTCTGATTTGTGGAAAACACATCAATTAATCCTTTCTTTTTATTATCTTTATTATTAAAATGAGGAGGGATGTATGAATGTATGCAACTTATGAATGCAATAGACAGTTTAAGGATAACCCCTTTTTTATTTTATCTAGAAAGTGTTCATCCTTCTATACAATGCTTTGAAGTAAGTGTTGACAAAAATGGAGAAGCTTGAAGAATCCTATGGGTAGATTAGGCTTTCTTCGTAATTCATCTTCAGCTAATCTCACATGATTTCTGAGCATCTTAACTTGCTCATGTACCACCTGACTCATATCTTCATTATATCGACGAGCCTCTTTTATCTTTTCTTCCTGATGAACGATCAAGGCTTGTTGTTGGTCAGACTTCTCTATTACTTGGTCTCTTTCATGACGTAATTGACCATACTGATCTAATCCATCTCTTTCTTTATCATGTAGCTCATCCAGGTTTTCTCTATATCTTTCAGCAGTTTCCCACTACTTTTGTGCTTCTGACCGAGTTTCTGCTAGGTCATCTTGTATTAACTTGATCGTTTTTGCCTGTTCTGCAAGCGCACTCTCAAGATGTGCTATTTCATCATTCATGTCCCGGAATAGACTATCTTGTTCAAGCCTCGGAATTTTCAATGCTTGTTTAGTCTCTTCTTGATAATCAGCACAATCATTCTTGAGGCGTTCTATTTCATGATCCTTCTTTTTACATTGCCTTTTTAAACCATCTATTATAAGGGTTGACTCTTGCTCTTTCTCTTAAAAAGCCCTCAACTGAGCTTCCATTACTTCTACCCTTTTATTTAAGGCATTGACTTGCAACTGTAGCTCTTCATTAACTAATGTTGTAGTGAATGTAGTAGATGGTTGGGGTATCCTTCACTTTTCCTCCATTCCTCATATTCATGGGACGTAGACACCTGGACCTTTCCGAGTTCTTTATCTCCTATATAGACTGGTCTTTCCCATGCTTTCCGGACAGCAGATACTTCTTCAAAGCTATGGGAGTAATGGCATAGACTCAGCCCTCTGAGCTCTTCTTGAGTTGGCACAGTCTGGGTTCTCATGAGTTGTCTCATAGCTATCTTAGGAGAGTAAGCTATGCAACCCCTGAGGCCTAGTAGTTGTATGCTCAGGTAATCTCCGCATTGTATAAGAATATAACCGGGTTGGAACCAAGGGCAAACCCATGATACATGCTCTATTTTCCAATTCTCTAACTCGGTTTTCCATTCTAAAGCTTGATGATGTTGAAGAGGGATTTTCGAAAAACTCCTTAAAGGATCAGGGAATATGCCCATGTAGCTTGAAGCGTAGAAGTGAGTAATGCCCCATACATATAGTAATGAAGTACAACATCTAAGTGTTTTCCCCTGTTTCTGCCGACAAAAATTTACTGAAAGCAGGGTATCGGCGAGGATTGTAGGTATAGGACTCTTAGAGTATACATCCCAGGCAAAGAATGCATCTATTGCAGCATGATCCACAACATTCACATGAAATGGGAATAATATGATTCCGAACATTGCCAATGCTAGAGTTTTGTTGAAGGTTGACCAATCTTTCTTTTCAGCCAAAGAGATTAAGTGGTCTTCTATTATTGACATTTTCCATCCTCGGATATTCCCTTTTCCCTCTAGGATGGATTGATGAGGAGGAAATCGTATAATAGTAGCAACCTTGTTCATGGAAACATATACTCCTGAACAGACATAGACCCCGACTGACTGAGGCCATCTAACCATGAGTTCATATTCTTCTAAGGTTGGTACTAAATCAAATTGCGAAAACTCAAACCAGTGCAGGTCGGGATTCCAGAAGTGGACCAATGCTCTAACAAAGATAGGATCGATGCTAATTTTCAGGAGGTCAAGAACCCTTCCATAAGATTTCTCAAAATTAGCACTGACCTCCGGCGGCATATATGTACACAATTGCCTTATCTTCTCTACACGGCATAGAAGGATTTCCACTTTCTTTAACTGTCTATTACTGGATCCCTCCATTATCTAAAAGAAATGAAAAATGCATGATATGAGGATGAATCTTTGTAAATGCATGCATGCAAGTGTTTGTTTTTCTAAGTATTATCATGTTTTATTCCTAGTATGATACATGATAGTGCTTGGTTTTTTCTTAAAAAGGAAACTATCTATATGAATGTTTATGGATTTTGATGAAGAGAGTCCTATTTTCTTCTCTTATTATTTTTATGAACAAATATTGTATGAATAATAATACTTTGTCAAAAATCTTTTTATTGTAAGAGGTTTTTATGGTTTTAAATTGTTTTTTGTATTTTTTATGACCCTTTATCTCTTCTGTTGGTCAACGTGGCTACTTAGCTTACAAAGAACCTGAAACCAGGCTAGCTTAAATGAAGACTGTCCGAGATAAAGTTGATTTATTCTTATCACTTTCATGGTTTTTAGGATTTTTACTATTTTTATCTGTTGTATGATTACCCTATGCCAATGCATCAATACAAATGCAGCAAACGAATGCACACACAATTCACCCATCCACGGGCAAAGTCATGCTAATTTAATCATGAGGTGGGGTTTTCCTGCAGAAACGTGCTTGGTTTAGGCGGTTCTAAACTGTTCTCACCAAGGCCAAAGGTCCCCAAGGTGCCCCCATTATAGGGACCTCTCAATCTCTCAGTCTTCGGATCATGCACGAAACTCCGTGTCGACATCCTTGGACCAAAAGAAGAGAGTTATCACCTTGAGTTGGTGGTTTTCCGACAACGGTTGTAGCCCCGTGTGCCAACAAGCCGATTGTATCTGCCACCCACTCCCTATAGGTATTCACTCTTGCCCCCGGGTATAGAGGGACTGTAGTGTGCAAGGGTTTTTGTGTACAATTTATATTTCAGACAATTTGCAAATAATCATACAGCAGTTATTAAAGCCATACAATAAAACATACAAAGGAGGGTAAAGGCGTAATTTCAAATCTTTACTAAGTTTGAATTTATCCGTCACTAAATGGGATCAACTCTCTAGCTTCCCCAATGAAGTCGCCATCTGTCGCCGCCGTCCATTCCGACGTCTAGGGACATTTCGAACGTTTATGCGAGCGATTGCGAAAAGATGGTTTAGACTCGCGTTTTATTTTAAAATGTGTTCATTGCTTCCGAGGTGCTCAACAACTGAACTATCCTCTAATAAAAGCAAGGTTTTCGCAAAAGGATTCTTATGGAGTCGCCACCAATGTTTTGACCATAAACATTGGAAAAGGATAAAAAGGCGTTGATTTTAAGAAAAACCAAACTTGGCCATTATAACCAGAGTTAGGTAAGGGAATTAGTTACGCGTGGGGAAGGTGTTAGCACCCCACGACGCCCCTTTCGGGTTCCCTATGACAGATTAATTCATAAAGTAAAGATTAAGAGAAATTACGCTATTACCCTATTTTATTGTACAATATTTTAGAAATGGCTATCTACATGATTTTATTTTCTATTGCATACATAAAGCAATAAAAGAGAAGAGAAGTGAAAAAAACCTCCGTAGCAAGCTTTTTATTGCAAATCTTTAACTGTGAGGATGCGTTTTGGCAATCCCCCGCTCTACAAAGACTCTCCTCCCCAATTACAGGACCGACTCTACTGTAATTCTAAGAAGAATCGAATGCTTGAAGAAACTTCCTTAACCGATTGTTACCTTATTAAGCAATCAGAGAGTTCATTCGAAAGAGGGAGAGAAGACAAGTGTCTGGAGTGTGTAAAAATGCTCAAATGAGCTCCTATTTATAGTTTTTTCAGCCTGGCAGCTCGGGACAGCAGTCTGGGGTGCAGAAAACAGGGATGGCCATCTGCAGAGGTTGGGACGGTTGTCTGGGATCTGGGACGGCCGTCCCAAGTGTTAAAAATGGTTGAGACGGCCGTCTGGCATGTGGGACGGCCGTCTAGACTGACTGGGACGGCTGTCCCGACTTTTGGGACTCCCGGGAAGCTTTCCTTTCTTTATTCGGAAGTCGATTGATGCCGATAGACATCCACCGAAGCTTTATCTTTAGATAGAAAGTCTTCTTAGCCTTTATTGAGCGGCCGGGAAAAATTAGGGGTCTACAGTGAGTATTCACCTTATCAATATCTCAAATCAATGATGGATTCAATTTTATGGCTAAACCCTTTGTCAGGCTAGTGTTTTCTTGTTTTGTTCATTAAAATGGTGTAAGACACCAATTTCTTACTAGAAGATAAACTTGATTACAAGATGAACTCCTCTGAAAAAAACATTGGCGCTCGTGTAAACGAGGTGCTTTACCTAACTGAGCTACAACCCTTGTGATTTTGATACATATTTTATCATAGTATGAAGATAATTTAATTTCTTGTCAAGATAACTATTACATGATCGAATCCCTTGAATGGATATTGCGTTGGTATTGTTTATTAGTAAGATTACATTTATAATCAATTGATCTGATAGATGAGTATTCTACTTTTTTTTTTGAGGGGGAGTCATAAATTACCTACTTAACTCAGTGGTTAGAGTATTGCTTTCATACGGCAAGAGTCATTGGTTCAAATCCAATAGTAGGTAAGGTGTAGTTCGAACTTATTAGATACCTTTGACTTTGCTATCTAATAAGATTTTCTACTGATTCTTTTTTTCTAACTTTTCTTACTGTTTCTTTTTTATTTTTATTGTATTCGGATATTCAGACGCATCAACTTGTCATGAAATCACATTGATAGCTTCTACTCGTGTTCTAGCTCGTCTAAGAGCTAGATTTGCCTCAATTGTTTGTCTCTTGCCTTCAACCTTATTCAAATTAGTTTCTACTATTTCAAGAGTTTGTTGTGCTTCTTGTGGATCAATGTCACTACCCTTTTCCGCATCATTTACTAAAATAGTGATCTCATTATTGTTTATTCTAGCAACCCCCCAATCAGAGCCATTGCTAACCATTGGTCTTTAAGACATATTCTCAAAATGCCTATATCTACAACTGAGGCAATAGGCGCATGATTAAGTAATACTCCAATTTGTCCACTATTAGTAGGTAAAATTATTTCCTTCACTTCTGAATCCCAAACAATTCGATTGGGGGTCAGTACACAAAGATTTAAAGTCATTTCTTCAAATTGCTCTCCATTTCTAAGTTCGTAGCCTTCGTAGTAGCTTCATCGATATTACCTACCAAATAAAAGGCTTGTTCAGGATGACCATCTAATTCTCCAGAAAGAATCAAATTAAACCCTCTAATTGTTTCTACTAGACCAACATATTTCCCTGCCGAACCGGTAAAAACTTCTGCTACGAAAAAAGGTTTTGATAAGAAACGCTCAATTTTTCGTGTTGTTGCTACGATTAAGTGATCTTCTTCAGATAATTCGTCTAAGCCAAGGATAGCTATAATATCTTGAAGTTCTTTGAAACGTTGTAAAGTTTGTTTAACTTGTTGCGCAGTCTCATAATGTTCTTCACCAATGATTCGAGGTTGGAGCATAGTTGAGGTTGAATCTAAAGGATCTACTGCTGGATAGATACCTTTGGCGACTAATCCTCTTGATAGTACAGTAGTAGCATCTAAATGTGCAAATGTGGTAGTAGAGGCAGGATCAGCTAAATCGTCTACGTGTACATAAACCGCTTGAATAGAAGTTATGGACCCTTCTTTGGTAGAAGTGATTCTTTCTTGTAAAGAACCCATTTCAAGTACTAAGAGTGGGTTGATAACCTACGACAGAGGGCATTCCACCTAATAAGGCGTATACTTCAGATCCTCGCTTGGACGAAGTGGAAGATATTGTCGATAAATAGAAGTACATCTTGTTCATTGACATCTCGAAAATATTCCGCCATAGTTAGGGCGCTTAAACCAACTCTCATACGAGCTCCGGCGGTTCATTCATTTGACCATATACTAGAGCTACTTTTGATTCTCGCAATATTTTGTTCATTAATTACTCCAGATTCTTTCATTTCCATATAAAGATCATTTCCCTCACGAGTACGCTCACCTACTCCGCCAAATACGTATACACCTCCATGAGCTTTGGCAATGTTATTGATCAATTCCATAATCAATACCGTTTTACCCACTCCAGCCTCCACCGAAAAGTCCTATTTTTCCTCCACGACGATAAGGAGCTAAAAGATCTACTACTTTTATTCCTGTTTCAAAAATAGATAATTTTGTATCTAATTGTATAAAGGTAGGCGCAGATCTATGAATGGGAGATGTTGTATGAGTATCTACAAGACCTAAATTATCAATTGGCTCTCCAAGCACGTTGAAAATTTGTCCTAGAGTTGCTCCACCTACTCGGAACACTTAGGGAGTTCCTGTGTCAATCACTTTCATTCCTCTCATTAGACCATCTCGTAGCACTCATAGCTACAACTCTAACTCGATTATTTCCTAATAATTGTTGTACTTCACAAGTCACGTTAATTTGTTGACCAACAAGTATCTCGACTCTTAACTACCGTAGCGTTGTAAATATTAGGCATCTTCCCTGGGGGAAAAGCTACATCTAGTACCGGACCAATTATTTGGGCAATATGTCCCAGCCTTTTTTTTTCAAGCGCAGAAACTTCAGGACCTAAGTAGTAGGATTTATTCGCATATCAAAAGCCAATTTTTTTCTGAAAAGTTTTGAAATAAAAAATAAATGTTCAATAATAAAGCAAGTTGATCGGTTAATTCAATAATAAATAAGAAATGGGAGTTAGTACTCCATTTTTTTGGTACTATTCAACCAATCCACTTGAATTGTTTACTTATTCAATTTCAATTATTGAATTCTTAAGCTTACTCCATTTATTTTGAAAATTGAAATTGGATAAAATCTTTCGAAAGTCTTTTTTTTTTTCTATCATTCTAGATAATATCATCTATATTTTCTATGGAATTCGAACCTGCACCTTAATTTATAATTTAGTTTTTTTCATTGGCTTTCGTATTTCATCAGTAGATAATTTTTTAGACTATTTTTTTTTACTTCTTTTTTCTTTTCTGGGGAGAAATCTGCCTATTTTTACATCTAGGATTTACATATACAACATATATCATTGTAAGGATAGGAGATTCCAATTTGAAAAAAAAAAAACAAAGATTGGGTTGTGCCATACATAGAAAAGAGTATACAATAATGATGTATTTGACAAATCAAATGCCATCGTTTAATTTAAAAATAATGAACCTTTAGGATTAATTGATAATATTAGTTGATTATTGTAAAAGATTTCATTAACTCCTAAGTCATGTCGAGTAGACCTTATTGTTTCAAGAATTCTTAATTCATGAGTTGTAGGGAGGGATTTATGTCACCACAAACAGAGACTAAAGCAAGTGTTGGGTTCAAAGCCGGTGTTAAAGATTATAAATTGACTTATTATACTCCCGACTATGAAACCAAAGATACCGATATCTTGGCAGCATTTCGAGTAACTCCTCAACCTGGAGTTCCACCCGAAGAAGCAGTGTGCCGTGTAGCCGAATCTTCGATCGGTACATGGACAACCGTGTGGACCGATGGGCTTACCAGCCTTGATCGGTACAAAGGACGATGCTATCACATCGAGCCTGTTGCTGGGGAAGAAAATCAATATATTGCTTACGTAGCTTATCCCTTAGACCTTTTTGAAGAAGGTTCTGTTACTAACATGTTTACTTCTATTGTCGGTAATGTATTTGGGTTCAAGGCACTGCGTGCTCTACGTCTGGAGGATTTGCGAATCCCAACTTCTTATATTAAAACTTTCCAAGGTCCGCCTCATGGCATCCAAGTTGAGAGAGATAAATTGAACAAGTATGGTCGTCCCCTATTAGGATGTACTATTAAACCTAAATTGGGGTTATCCGCTAAGAATTATGGTAGAGCGGTTTATGAATGTCTTCGTGGGGGACTTGATTTTACCAAAGATGATGAAAATGTGAATTCCCAACCATTTATGCATTGGAGAGACCGTTTTTTATTTTGTGCTGAAGCGATTTATAAAGCACAGCTGAAATAGGTGAAATCAAAGGGCATTACTTGAATGCAACTCGCGAGTACATGCGAAGAAATGATAAAAAGAGCTGTATTTGCTAGAGAATTAGGCATTCCTATCGTAATGCATGATTATTTAACAGGGGGATTCACTTCAAATACTAGCTTGGCTCATTATTGCCGGGATAATGGTCTACTCCTTCATATACATCGTGCAATGCATGCAGCTTATCGATGGACAAAAGAATCATGGTATGCACTTTCGTGTACTAGCTAAAGCATTACGTTTGTCCGGTGGAGATCATGTTCACTCCTGCATCGTAGTAGGTAAACTTGAAGGGGAAAGAGAAATCACTTTAGGTTTTGTTGATTTATCGCGTGATGATTTTATTGAAAAAGATCGAAGTCGCGGTATTTATTTCACTCAGGATTGGGTTTCTCTACCAGGTGTTCTCGCCTGTTGCTTCGGAGGTATTCATGTTTGGCATATGCCTCGCTTCCGACCGAAATCTTTGGAGATGATTCCGTACTTCAATTTGGTGGAGGAACTTTAGGACACCCTTGGGGAAATGCACTAGGTGTTATAGCTAATCGAGTAGCTCTTGAAGCATGTGTGCAGTGCTCGAAATGAAGGACGTGATCTTGCTCATGAAGGTAATGAAATTATCCATGAGGCTAGCAAATGGAGTGCCGAATTAGTCGCTGCTTGCAAAGTATGGAAGGAGATCAAATTTGAATTCCAAGCAATGGATACTTTGGATTAATTGCAATTAAACTCGGCACAATCTTTTCCTCAAAGAAGGATTGAGCCGAATACAAAGATACTTAATTATGAAATAGATTTATATGTTTGGTATTGGAATAGAAGTGTAGTAAGTAGACGAGATTTTACGAAAAAAGTTATTACAAGGAAACCGACTATTTCCTTTTTCGATGTGAATTTCACATAATAGGGAGGTTGCTCCATTTCTATATTAAATTTTTATTCTAGATATATTCAATTTTTATTTTCATATTTATTTCTATATTTTTAGAATTTTATACGTTTTTTTAGTTTAGAATAGAATTTTCGAATATAAAAAATTTTAGAAAAAAAAGATATATATCTTTTTTTAAGATTTAAAAATGGAAAATAGAATATTTCATTAATATTCTATTTTCCATTTTAAATCTTATTTTGATTTTATTCGATTGTCTTTTTTTTCAATACTAATATTGACAATAGTGTATCAAAGAAATAGAATCCGATCGTGAATAAATTAATCAAATTATTTACATTAAATAGGCGTTATTACTTCATCAAATGGTAGGTTCATTGGGTTTTTTTCTGCGATACAAACAAGAAAATCTTTCTTGATTAATAGGTAAGTAAGTGATTTGAAAGGTAAAGACGAATATATATATATAGTATTCTATATATAAGAATAATGTATAACATAGTAGATAAAGGGGTGGTATATCATTTTTTATTTTTTAGACAATTCATTCTTTTATTGTTATTGTTTTTATTGCGATTGGGTATAAACCTTCTTTTTTAAATTGTATTGGGGTTGCTAACTCAATGGTAGAGTACTCGGCTTTTAAGAGCGACTCTATTTTTTACACATTTCTATGAAGCAATCGGTTTGTCCATACTATCGGTAGAGTTTGTAAAACCAAGATTGATCCAGAAAGGAATGAATGGAAAAAGTAGCATGTCGTATCGATGAAGAATTCTAAAAATATTTCATTCTTATAGGATCCAGCTCAAATTTTTGTTTGAATTTTTGGCTTGTAAAAAAAAAATTCAGTTGGGTTTAATTAATAAAGGGATAGAACTTGGAGGCTCTAATTCTAATAGGGAAACAAAAAGCAACGAGCTTTCCTTTTTTTTTCATTTGGATCATTACCCCATCTAATTGTACGTTAATAAGAGGTTAGTGCTTGATGTGGGAAAAGCTTTTCTAGTGAATGGATTATTTATTTTTGATATGAGTCCTAACTATATAGCTATTTTCCATTATCTGTTGATATTTGGGGGTAACAATGAATGTGTATGTCACCACCATCAAAAGAGACAGTTGGAGCGACGCGATGGTTTTGCTTTGACTCCGTTTTTTAAAGATATGGTTCAACGCCTTTAGGTTATCCGATAACCGGGCTGGACCTAAAGGCGAGGTTTTCGGAAAAGGGTTCAACGCCTTTAAAGATATGGTTCAACGCCTTTAGGTTATCCAGAAACATTGGAAAAGGAAGAAAAAGAAGGTGTTGGTTTAGAAAAACCAACTTTGGCCATTATAACCAGAGTTGGGTAAGGGAGTTAGTTACGTGTAGGGAAGGTATTAGCTTCCCTACGACGCCCCTTTCGGGTTCCCTATGATGGACCATTTATTTTATAAATAAAGAACTCTAAAACTATGCTTTTACCCTTATTTATTCATTTGCGGAATTTAAATTGTTGACTACATGGCCCTAAAAGTTAATGCACAGATATATGTAATAAGAAAGCGGTAAAAGAAGATAGGAAATGTAGGAACCTTCAAAGCAAGCTTTGTATTAATGTTCTTGGAAAAGAAAGGTTCTTTTTGGCAACCTCCGCACTCTATAGTGATGATAGCTCTTTCTCGCAACACTATAGGACACTAAGAAACTCCAGAAATGCTTCAGAGGGGTCCTAGGAGAATAATTTGAAAGAAGTGCAGAAGGGAAAGTTGCTTTGTGTGTCTTCAAGAAGGAGAATGCCCCCCTTTAATAGGAATTCACACCTGTCAGGTCAGGACCGCCATCTCACCTGATGAGGTCGGGACCGTTGTCTCGCCAAATGAGACGGCGGTTTTAGGTGGAATTTCTTATTTTTCACATACAAAAATCCTTCCTATTCTAAAATGGAGCCTATTGATCTATCCTAGGGACCTTTTAGACCTTGTCCATCTTCGAACGAAAGTCTTCTGCTCTTTATTTTGAGGCCAGGAAAGATTTGGGGTCTACAACTACCCCCCCTTCACCTAACTAGCCGACTGTTGGCTCGACATGCCAAAAAGATCGGCTGGAGGGTGAAGGAGTTAACCCTCTTGCCCAGCTGTCCTCTGGATGCTCCTTCTTGCGGTAGCCAACCCTCTAGACGAAAAATGTATGTGCCTCCGGGATGCTCCTTCATGCGGTAGCCGACCCCTTTGGACAAAAAGGTGTGAACCTCCGGGATGCTCCTTCTTGCGGTAGCCGACCCCTCGGTTGATGAGTATGAACCCCCATCTGGTTGCTTTTAGCTTTGGGATGCTCCTTCTTACGGTAGCCGACCCCTCAACTGACAACTGGTAGAACCTCAGGATGCTCCTTCTTGCGGTAGCCGACCCCTCGGTTGATGAGTATGAACCTCCATCCGGTTGGTGCAATCCACTTTGTAAGACTGGTGGTGGTGGCGACTTACTGCTCTAGCTCATGTGCCAGTTGATGAGTATGAACCCCCCATTTGGTTGGTGCAGTCCACTTTGTAGGACCGGTTACGACTTAATGCTCTTGCTCATGCACAGTGGTTTTGCCTGTGTGCAGGTCTTTGTCTTCGGGACCTTCCTTCTCCCGAAGTGGTAGTGGCAGCTTACTGCTCTAGCTCATGCGCCTATTCCATGAGGAGTGTTTCCGCTTTAGTAAATGTTTCTGATTTTTGTAGTCGTTCGGTGTGTCGGGGATTCTTTGATTTTTGGCTTTTCCTGATAGCATCTAGCTTGTTGATTGCTGGGGATTCTTTGTTTTGATCTTTTGGTAGTGGTCATCCGACTTTGCTGGTTGTCGGGGATTTTTGGGTGACGCCTTTGAGCAGGTGGGCGTTCATTGAGGTTCTGGTAATGCCTATGAGTAGGCAGATGCTTCATTGGAAGTGGAGGCTTTCAGTTTGCATTGTTTTCTTGAGGGGAGCCTCATTTGGAGGCTTACTTTGAGTGCTCCCTGTTTTTCAGAAACAAACATGGAGCTAGTCTCCTTATATGCATGAATGCTTTTCATTTTTTGTTATTTTTCTAAAGCGATTCTTTATTTTTGCTTTTCGATATCGACAAAGTCATTTTGTGTGACTATTTGTGTGGATGCCAAATAGACTACTTGTGTGGATGCCAATTATAAAAGTCATTTTGTGTGACTACTTTTATTTGATGCATCTAGAAAGTGACTAGCATTCTTCTGTTGAGCTTTCGTGATTGTGCTGATGGGCTCTTTTTCTATTCTTTTTATTAAGCCCTATCTTTTGCCTAGACCCCCCTTTTGGGGTTTTCAATCTAGCAGGCTGCCTTAATTTTTGCCTAGGATATCTTAGCGGGCTTTTTTCCTTTTTATGAGTGCCTTAACTTTTTCCTAAACCGCCCTTTATGAAAGTAATGAAGATCTTATTGAATTACCTTGGCAAAGATCTTGTTGATTTGATGAAGTCAAGAATGAAGTCAAAGGCTACTTTGTGGCAGTCAAAGGTCACTTGGATAAAAGAGTAGAAGGATTAGTGTGTCTGTAGCTCCGCTTAGGTATAATCATTTTTATCTTTCTGCTGCATGAGGTTTCTTCATTTAAAAGATTTTGCAAATGCCTCTAAAAAATGTTTTAACGGTTAAAAACAAAGCATTTTGACAAAAGCTTTCTTAATCAACTATTTTAACTAATAGAATATAAGTTTTATCAACTAAAACGTTCTTCACACTTTTATAACAGGGTTTTAACTAATATAACTTCGAAATAACCGATTGTTTTCATTAAAGGAAGTTTTGAAAACCTTCAGTCAGTATTTTAACTGATACAGTTTCGAAATAACCGATTAAAATCACTTAAAATGTTCAGAGAAGTGTTTTGGCAGTATTTTAATCGATACAACTTCGAAATAATCGATTAAAACCACTTAGAGTACTGTTTGACCGATCAGAATGGGTTTATGACCGATCAGAACCGGATATGATCGATCAGAATTGGGTTATGACCGATCAGAACTATTTTAATCGATTAAACTACGTTTCAATCGATTCAGTTAAAACAAATCTGGAAAATAATCAAGAACGTTTTAATGGATTAAAAGAAGTTTTAACAAATTAAAACAAGACTTTTAACAGATTAAAAGATTATTTTAACAGATTAATTAAACCAGCAGTTTTGAAAATCTTCTATAAAAACAGAGTTGCTTGAACTTTTTTAAACACATCATATACACATCTGATATACATCTTTTAGCAATCAATCAAGCAATCAAAAGTGATACTTTCAAGAAAGAATTACGCTACTTTTTGTGAAGTTCATCAAAGTTCTTTCTTGAGGCAAAATTGCATTCTTTTGGAGAAGAAACAACATATTGCAGAACTGCATAAAACTGGTTTGAGCGTTCTTAGTTTCTTCTGTTTGTTTCTTAACTTTCTTTTACTATATTGTGGGTGCCTGGAATTGTGGACACTGGTTTCTGTAGCTGGAATTTGGCTGCAGGGTAGGTCAAGAATTGGAATTTGGTTCTTGGTGAAAGGTTAGGTGCAGGAACTGGAATTGTGGTTCTTGTGGTAGATTGAGTGTGAGGTTAAGGTTGTAATCTGTAAAACATTCAATCTAGTGGAAC